AATATGGTGAGACGACATCTGTAGATCCAATTGTCATGAACGCCGATTTCGCCGCACTGACCGGCAATTAATTACTTGAAGCCCAAGAGGCTAACTGAGTAAGGTCCTGTTGCAGGGCAACAATATCGTTAGCACTTGTGACATCGCACCATATTTTCAGGTCGTCGGCGTACAATACGAACGTGGAGGATAGGCATTGTTTCAGATCCTGAACGTAGATGGAGAACAAGGTAAGGCCAAGAATGGATCCTTGAGGAACCCCAGATGATGCGACCTCGGCATCTTTGTCTGAATAGGGTAACAAATGGAGAACACTGCATTTTAATTTTCACAGAATCAATAACAACAAGATCATTTTTAAGGGCGGCGAACACTCAATAGTAATGCCGCCTTTGAACTTGGGAAGGGAAAATATGGATGGGAATTAACAAAAATTAACATTTGATTAAATGTGAGCATGCGATTACCAGGGCAATTTGAGATTAGCCATATGGTCTAATTGCTTACATAGGTTGGGTTTCTCCCGCCATATATAGGTTGCTACCATATAGCGGTAGGTGCGATTGGTACATGCTCGAACAAGAACTCGGAAAGATATGTTGAGGTCAAAAGAGTGACCACTTTCTAGCAGGTGTTTTGTAACGAAGGACGGTGACACTTTGTTTTTTAGTTTAGAAAGCCAATTAGATAGTTGTTCAGCAGTTCTGGTCACCAATTACCTTTGTATATGGCCAATAAACTTGCATCGGCAAGTGCACGTGAATTCCTTGACACAGTTTGGGGTGGGGGCAAAGGCAAGGCATCCTTTGTCCGATTAAGTGGAAGGCTTTTTGTGGGAGTGAGTAACACTAGTTCAACTCCATTGTACGTTCTCCCAATGGTGCAACGTAGCCTTCGCTTAATGCTATTTGAGATATTGTCACCTCTAAACGGTAAACATATGAAAACAGGCTTTTCTGGAACCGATTGTTCCGTAGATTTTGGCCACCCCTGGGAAAAAAATGCTTTAAATATATTCTTCAGTCCCACAAGGTACAAAATATTGCGTCTGTGCGTTCGTCTCAGTTAATGTTAGTTAAAGAACTGTGTCTCTTTGTAGACGGCGCTCGTTAATTAAATGTTTATTGGCGCCAGGCGAGCGGACAAATAAATGCAATTTCATATACATTTAAATATCCACGTCAAGTAGGCCGAAAAATATGTCAACATATTTTTGGCGTCGTCTCTCCCTATTCTTGGATAACATAAGGTGATTTCCACTAAAGGGAAATACACGATTATTTATAGTGGTTCGGAAATCCATCTATCTTATTTTGGGAGTATTAGAGCATTTCCGGAGGACTCGTTGTTAATTTCTGTCATGCGAGAGACACACAATCCGTGATACGATAATTATGAATACAATATATAAGTGGTACCACGGATTTCAGCCGTCATTCATCGCGAAAAGTCATTTTGCACAAATTTATTCTAAATCTAGTGGCTATTTTCTGAGCCGACTCAACAACGGCTTGGGGCTACTGAAACGTTGTTGTGGAACTTTCTAAGTCAAAGTCGCAAAACCTAAGATCATGCAGGGCTGGAAGGAAGACATTCAATAATGTATCTTTCAGAAAAGTTGATTGTATAATTTTTTCTTCAAGGTTCTGGCGTGATAAAAATGTACCTAAAAACTTATTAAAGCTCATTAATTGGACGATTTGAGATACGGCTGCGTTTAAACAACTTGTTTTTATGTTTCGCTAAGAGCTCAGTCCTGTATAAACCGTTATCAGTTGTTGAGTTTCTCCGTTTGAAGGTTGCCGGATTGTACTTAATGGCTAACTCAAACGCCAAAATCATTTTCACGTTTATTTTATAAATTACCCGGAGAAAAGTTGATTTTCTTGCGATGAACTTTTAACGGAGAATCATCTCTGCATTTTCTGCAGTACCTTTATATGTTTGCATACTTGTAACTATATTTTATAACAGCTCATACTATCATCCCTCTGAATAGAAAAGCTTTCATCTAGCAGACGGACTTTTTTGAGTTGCAAACTAAGTTTTTAATTTTGATTTCTTCTACCTACAGGGTTCTTTTGCGTTCAGCTGCCATGGTCAGTTTAGCTTCAGTGAGTGCGAACACACCCAAAACATTTGAATATGTTCCTTCATTGATGTACGTCACCTTTGCGGTCGACATTATGGTGGCTTGTTTACTGACAGTGGAGATGGGTACTAAGATGTGCATACAGGGCCTGTTTGCTCCATCCTCGGGCCAGGTTAGTTTCTACAGCTTTCGAATGATACAACTTCATAAGGCAATGAAACAGCTGATAGGTTTTAAGTAAGCATTGCGTGCCCTATACACGAGAGCTAAACATTTATGATTTACGTCCACTAATTTTAATACGTGCTTAAAATTCGATACGTCGAAAGCCGTAAAAATTTATAATTTTAACATTTTGTAGGGTACCCATGCAATTAATGAAACCGTTGTAAACGTCATTTCAACAAAAAAACGTAGTGGTTGCCTGCAGGGGTAAATTTAATTGATTTTGCTAATTTAACTCGTTATCAGTAAAGTTTTATTAATGATCTTGGTATATTTTTTACAAGTAAATATGGCATCCTTATCTCTACGTGACGTATAAGCTTTTTGAAAGCTCAATTTAAAATTCATTGCAGCAAACATTTACTCACTTAATGGTATTTCTTTTTTATGATAATCTTTATATATGTATGAACCTGCATTGATGTCTCGATTTTTTTTAACTTTGTCATGTTGTACGAAAGTACAACCACATACCTTGATTCATTTTCCGTCTTGCTTGGCTCACATATTAACTAATCGCTTGCTCAATGCAGGATTTAAATCAACTTATCAAAAAGCAGATTGCGGCCAAGGTAAGATAATTTGCGTTTAGCCTGAAATCACAAACCTGTCAGAGTCTGAAATGAATGTTCAGCCTGTGTGTTTTTTCTTATTCTTTGAGTTCCCACAAATGTTATTATTTTCTTTTCGTTAAAGTTTTATGTTGATTTGGTGTGAACATAGTTTTTGGTTACTTTAGTTCTGCATTTTACTCATATTTCATAATAACTCGCTTTCTCAGATGTTGACCCGAGTGCATGTTGAAACCAAATAACACATATTTTGAGTTCAGTTTCACCATCCTCGAAAAAAGGCAGTTCAGAATACTTTGCTGATATTTTCCGTGCAGAAAGTAAAGCGAGAGTATAATTGCGAATCACGTATCCCACAGTGAAAGCGCAGCGTTTAAATAACTAGAAGTCTACTTATATAGATCAGTATTTTTATTACCTAAATTTAAATGCAATGAGGCCAAACAATTCCTCGTCAATGTTTGAATAACAATAATCGCTGAAATTCTCAACTTCGCCGGTCTTAATATTTTTATTTCTAAAAGATACCAATGGAAACGGGGACAAAATTTTTCAAATTTTTAATTCGACACTACAAATCAATTTATAGTCCAGTCAATTAAAAAAAATATTTTGTCGTGGCATGCGCAATATTAAGGAGCATTAGTTCTTGAGACAGTCTTCCTTATTACCTCCATACAACGAACCCTTCAAAAACAAAAATAAACGAACAATTTCAGTAGTTTACCATGAAAAATGCGTTTTCAAGGTGCCGACATATTCGGAGCTTCGGAGCTCCGAGTATGAGTTTAAAATGTTGTGGTCCTATTTTTAATCGGGAAACCCGTTTGCTTTTTTCCTGTTCAGGGAATTAATCCGAACACATTTCTTATTAAAGTGAGCCGAAACTTCAAAGTAAATTGGAAAATTGCCAATTTTTGAAATCGCTCTCAATCCAGTAATTTAGACTAAATGTTCCAGAGTTAACTGGAAAAAGAAATAGTATCCCACCACTGTGGAGAAATTTCGAGCTTAGGATGACTTTATGCAAGAAGCCAAACTCATTTATAGCCGACACACGTCTCACACCAGATTAGAACGCTTAGCATGGCTAATTGATTTTATGCACACCTTACCCAAGTTAATGGGGCTCATGATCTTCTGTTCGCCCAAAATAACTGACACGTAATTGTGACTAAACTGTACATCCTCATCACCAAACAGTCAAAATAATTGCACGGAATTTGCTGCTCTGTTACATGCTTCTGCTTGTGCACTCAGGTCTTGCATGTATCTCATTTATCTTTATTCCTGTAGGTAATTGAATATGCCTAAGGTGAACAGATGGGTGACATCCGTCATGCTAAATGCGGACGGTTAGTGCAGTGCTGATATGAAATGTCTCTAGCCAGTGGATTTCAATGCACATTTTGAAAGGGGGCTAGTCAGGTCAGCTTGCCACTTCACTAGAGGATAAGTATTCAGTTGTGTTTATACATCCACCACATTACAACATAATATCAATTGAAAGCTGCACTTTGGCTGAACGTAATTGCTGTATACGTGATGGCAATTAAAATCACATAAGACGAATTACCGATAGCAAGCATTTTATGTGACACCTTACCTTAGGCAAAAATAAACCTCTTTAGGTAATGTTCAATTAGATGTTACCCAGCGACAAGCGCCTCTAGAGCAAATCCTTTTGCTATTTCCCCACCAGAATATCCTATTTTCCCAGTGAAGGCTTTCCTAGCATCGTCAATCAGAATTAATAAGTGAACGAAGAAAAAAATGGCAAGGATTGCTTATATGGCCCTCTGCATTATTCTAAACAAAGTGACCCAACGTTACCTTCTGTTAACTACACCAATCCTGTCCCATAGAAGATACATAGCCAAGCAACGGAAACCGAATTTGCCTGTAGCTTAAGTAACTTTGCGCTTAATTCCAGGGAAATCAGGATTTAAATTGAGTTTAGGATTAAGATAAGGCTAGGGTTAGCGTTTTTGGTTTTGTTTAGAGTTTTGATTAATCCGATGCTTACAGTTAGGGTTAAGGTTAATGGTAGTGTCAGGCTTTGGAGACGCAAATATTTACCTTTCATGTAATCCCCCTCAAGGTCATCTGTATTAAATGATGTGGTCGCCACTTTTTCCCTTTCCTCCGTGGAAAAAGCACGCATATAAGCGGTTCCTAGCGAAATTAAGTAGATTACTCTAAAGTGCAAAGTCGGTAAGCCGAGGAAGACTATTTGTCTAGTTGTCTGGCTGCATAAAACTGGCCCAACTTATTACACTTGATGGATTTATATTTACCTTATTAACATAACGTTTTCGGAGCACTATAATTTGGGAGTATAAATGTTTTTTTTTTCAATTCCTCTTCAGTTCTTTCAGTTCACTTTAATTTTTTTGCTATTGCCCGCGAGAATTCACTCTAGTTTCTCGCGGTGGATCGGCAACGCACACACCTTCTGCCTAACCCTGTTTCACGCTCACATAATATTTGCCTGACAGTAGTATGATAATGAGCATCTCATGAGAAATCCTGCATGGCTAACAAAAGGTATTTAAGAACAAAAAATGATGCTTTAACTCGCCTCAAGCTGTCTTTCAGTTCTCAACAGCATGAATACTTCTAGCACTACAGAAACTGCATTTGCTGACAGCACTCACTAGTCCGAATTTACTTTTAGTCCTTGGGCGTCGGCGTGGACTCGAAGCGGAATAGGGCCTACTTCCAGCAATCGTGGAACTGCTTCGATGCGTCAATGGTCTTTTTCCTGTGGGCTTCGATCATTCTTCAGTGCTTTGAACTGCGCGCTGCATGGGAGTGCGGACCGAAAGAGGAGACCTGCACGGAGGAGTTGCAATTCTGGCGACAGTATGGCTGGCTGAGTGTCCTCCGGTGCCCGAGGCCACTCATCCTCATACGAGTCTTTCGCGCAGTCCTAAAATTGCAATTGCCTCCCGCCCGAGTGAATGCTATTTTTCAGTAAGTCCTGCTTCACGCTGGCAGATCCGTTACCGTGCTGGGGAGGTAAAGTCGCGGCAAATCTTTAAGCTATGGTGTCCTACGTCTGTGGGGAACTGTTTTGGGTCGCAGCTAGCTGGAAGACATCGGTGTCCAGAAATAATGTCAATAAAATAGTTACATTTTGCGGATATTCCCGCCGTCCTCTATAATACTGCCTTATCTTAGGTACCCGTTTGATTATATGTTTGATTTTGTGGGAGAAGGCAAAACAATAAATTTTGTATTCAGGGTTCTATATATATATTAGTATATGTGGCAAGATTCGGGGGATCACGATGACACTGGACATCACAAACCAGGGCGGGTGTGCCCTCTCTCTGATCGGTGTACGCCTATCTACCAATTTTTGTGGTCCTGATCAACAACCGTCAAGACGTCGAGCCCGATGGCTCGATGGTTAGAGCGTTC